GTGTGTGTGTGTGTGTGTGTGTGTGTGTGTGTGTGTGTGTGTGTGTGTGTGTTTGTTCTGCGACGGGATCTCCTCCTAGTTGGATGTTACCAGGAGGTACCCTAATAGGAAGCTTGAACTACCTCAACTGACTCCTTTCCATGTGGAAGAGCAGAGGCTCGACTTCGAGCGCCCCTCAGATGATGGAGCGTATTRCCTTATGTTTAAGGTTGAGCCCATCCAACCTGCAGAAGACGCTCATTTGATCTGTTTATACCAGGGATCTTGTTTTTTCAGTCATGACTATGGGTGAGGATGATGGTGATGCACTACAGCATCTGTAACATGATTTMCTAATAAATCCTGATAAACTTTGCACAAAGTTCATCGGTGCTAAATCTTTCCTTTGCACAATTTTCATAATCACATCTTATTTTATCCACTTTTATGACTTTCCAGGGATTAAAGACTATGGATTAAAAAATGTTTCTGATATTATACACATTATTTCCCCTAAATGCAGTTTGTTTGTCTGGTATGCACTTATCCTAAGTTCACTGGTTCAGTAAACATGCCCTTCTTGCAACTTCTAGGTTTAAAGGTGCACAAAAAGACAATAAAGAGGTATTAACATCCTTCATTGTTCAGCTTGCAGGGAAGAGCTCAAGAACAGTTTGCCAGATTTGAGGTTTGAAAGTAATCTTTCTTGGCTGCTAAATGYTCTCCTTCCGTTAATATTCAGCTGCTGCTCAGAGAGCCGTGGCTGTATCTGTAAGAACAAATCGCTCCGGGAATGATTAACTGTTTCATTTTCACACTTTCCTCTGTGTTTGCCGAGTCAGGGCAACACTGCATCATTCCTTTGCCTTGTAATGATTTTTCCTTCAGCGGCACTTCCCCTTCAAGCGATTTGGTGTGGACTCAAATCCAGGAAAAAAATGAAAACAAAGAGTTTTAATGAACAGATCCAGAGGAAGGGAGGTAAAATCTACTTATGGTGTTCATCTAATATGTGTGATAATGGAGCCATTTKTTTACTGAAAACACTTCTGTTGATTAAATATTAAAAAGGGGAAACTGTAAACACTTTGCAAAAGGTTTTTTTTTTTTGTCTCGTGAGGCTTCCAAATTAAAGATGCATAAGGTTTGGAAATGATCCCATTTAAAGGATGTCTGAAGCATCTGCCCTCGATGTCTCTGCCGTCACACAAACAAACTCAGAGATGAATCCTGAATAATGATGATCACAAACCTTAGAAATTTGCTAAAGCTGATTAAAAGGTACTCACCGAGCCCCAGGCAGGAGACACGTAACCCAGATTTCCCCAGGTTCCTGTGAAACAAATCAAAGGTTGATTTAGAAAAGCAGCGCAAATGGGACCCCAGATGTCATCACTCAAAATGTGATTGTAATTAATTTGCTCCCATATTATAAAACTGGGTAGTTGAGAGAATCACGTGAAATAGGCAAGAAACTGTAAAAGTTGTGAATCCAAATAAAAACTGAATTATTYTTCCTGCTCGACAGAGTGGAGATTTATGAACTGTGATGATCACCTTTATCACCAGCAATCATGAATCATATCTGAGAGATCACAAGGCCAGAGGACAGTTGATTTATTTTGCTTACACCTTGTTGGGGTGGGGGGTGGGGGGGGGGGTAGATGGCACACAAAGAGCTTGAAATTTTTTTTCATTGGCCAACGCCAAAAAACAAAGGCTGCAATGATGGTTTTGCCCTTTTCTGTGCTCTTTTCTGTTCCCAAAACATCTCATGAGCCGCTGGACTGATTTTATTCAAACCGTTATTTAAAAAGATATTATTGGATGAACATGTGTCTAATTAACTTTTGGAGTCAAACCAATTATGGTGACCAACACAGCAAATCGACAAACACAAAATAGCTATTTTTACTGATACTGGGCTCAAATTTGATTTGGTAATAGCTGAGAGCTGAGCTGGAACATGGCATAGGCAGTATAGGTGAATGTTAAGGGAGCCGTCCATCTAGGGGGCGCCACAAATGACGGACAAAAAAATTAAAAAATTTTATAGTTGATTTGTTCTATATTGTTAACTATTTTAATTTGGTTTATAAAGATAAAAATATAATATCAAAGACAAAACTTTATTTTGTTATGTGATCGTATGTAAATTGGCTGACTTAGAAAACAGCACAAGGGGTGCCACCTGAAATCCAGCCTAAGGTGCCAAATTAGCTTGGGCCAGCCCTGGCTGAGAGTCATTCAGAACTCATCCTCTGAGCGTGACATATTGTGTTTTTGCATGAGGTCACGCTCCTCCAAATATTTTTTAACAAAGGTGACGTAGTCTAAAACTCGGGCATAAAAAGTGAAAATTCCTTCAAATAATGCTGGGCCTTTAAATAAATTTTGCTAATACCTCAGAATAAACACAGCTTGCTTTGTTGCAGCAAGACAAGTGTGTGTGTACACTGCTTTTTGGCAGATGTTGCCCTGTGCTTCCATCTCATCCTCCCTCACTCGGCTGCATCGCATTCTTTGTAACAGTTTGATGTCTTCCTGCAACAGGAAGCACATCAGCCCTGAAGCCTTTCTGATCCTGTTGTCTTTTCCACAACATGCAGACGATTAAGCTCGCTCCCGAGCACTCGTGTTGTATCATGTCARTGGTTCTCATGATGTTTTCCCTCATCTCATTCCTCTGTTGCATTTTTTTTAAATCTAATAACTAAGTAATTTCATCTGACGCCTGTCTAATCTATGACAGTTAATTTACGTCSAGCTGGTTTACAGATTTAGCCCACTCTGTAAAATAAAAGAGCTTGCACATATTGCCTGAATTGTTTCATGTCAGATTTCCAGAAAAATGTCATCCTATGATGAGAGATGGAGATCAGGCCATTTTAGTCAAACCTTAAAAATAACATTATTCACAATCGTATGTGACATTGCAACATCTCTCATGATCTCACATAACTAGTGATTTTTGAAAACAGATTTCCTTTCCGATTCTGACACTTGGTAAGGCTGGTATCAGTGATACTAACCCAATTGTGCAAAATACACCTAATGTGTTTGTTAAATCTAACAATAAGTAAAGAATTTCAAATTACCACTTCACAAAAAATAGACATCAAAGTAATTTATTTTTAATTTTAAACTCAAAAATTTTGACGGAGTGACCTCATTTACAATATAGCCGAGTTAAAGCAACAGAAAAACCCAATAGACACAATCATACAAAATACATGAAAATTGTGAAATCTGATACATGAACATTAATATGAAAATACTGAACATGTAACGTCTGCAGACTGACTGACTGCATGTGTCACTGCAATTATGCATTACCCAGGCGGAAGAAAAAGTAGTTCCCTCCAATCACATGGGATTTAGACAAGATTTCAATAGTTTAGTTACTTCCCATTGTGTCCCAGTTAATGATATTTGTTACCTGAAATGACAGAAGTATCAATATTTTGATTTTAGTAYCAATTCTAGAGCATAAAGTTCTGGTACCGGTGGCATCGAAATTTCAGTGTTGATCCACACTTCACTACACATAACCCAAGCAGACAGGTGTGGGCCAGATCTGGCAAATAATGGGACTGTTTTTAAGATGCCACAAATGTCCTCATTGTGGTTTTGTTCGTGTGGTGCTGGCCCAAGCATAGATCACCTCTGGTAAACCACATCCAGGCCCCCAAAGGGCCACCATTCTTTGCAATACCTTGGCCAAGTGTTGGTGCAATGTGTGGGCCAGGACTGGGCCAGACAAATTTTGCAACAGTGCTTGGAGTGTGAATGACTCTCAGCTAATACCACACCAAACTTTAGCTAAATCTCTGTAAAAATGTGGTTATTTTTTTGTTGGTTAAAGCTGATTATCTGCCGTCTTTAACTGGGATGGAAAAGTTTTGGATACRGCTATTATGATCGCTTCACCTACATCTCAGGCACCAGGCCAAAAATATGGAGGACTTGTTTTAGTTAGGCTGTGTCATTCAGTCACGTTTTTGTTTTAGCATCAGTTTCACTTTAAGTTCGACTGAAATAGGAACTTATTGTTTTTAATTGTTAAACTGACTGCAGGAGCTTATTGTTCTCCCTCCACCCACCTCAGGTGTCTGCCTGCAGTGTGATGGATGAAGACTGTGGGTGAAAAGAAAACTTTAACAAGGGGCGAGATCCACAAAGCCACAAAGGGTGGCCCAATAGAGGAAGCTCTTTATTTTCCTGGACCAAAATCCCACACACAGATCCATTATTACCAGTAACGCACTTCATTCCGAGAGCTGAGTGCGAGAAGAAATAACCTCCAATTACCATYCTGGGATTGGGCCCTCTGCTCGGGTTTGCAGGCGTTTACTCATTACAATAAATGAGGCTGTAAAAAAAAATGACAGAGGCTGTTTTCTCCCGCCTGAAAACTCTTCCCTTCCGAGTCGTAGGAGAGGACTAATCCGAGGCCCTGTGCTGTTTAACCGTGCCCTTGGCCCAAACTATTAATTRTCCAGCAATAAGACGCGTGAAGTCAGTTTTACTGAGCTGTCAAAGCAGAGGAGTAAAAAAAAAAAAGTATAAGTCAAAGGATACACGCTATAAGTGTGCAAATTAGGACATCAGTAAAATCATGGCARGATGAAAGAGAAATCAGAGGTTGTGCTTTTGTCCCTAATACAATGGAGGAGTTTGGATCCTCATCTCACTGACGTATTATTGACTGAGCTCTGATCCAGATGGGGGTGGGGGGTGTAACCTGGATTTTTATTTTAAATGGCCTGTATAAAAAGCAATTATTAAATGCCCTGAAAATGTTAGAAACTGCAGACCTACGTGCCTCTTGGTCTTTATTGATTTCACTTTAACTGATCTTTAAATCACACTTTTCCAACTATAAATAAGACCATATATCTTCCAAATGAATGCTGAGAAAAATCTGGCTCTCTCTTGCAACTTTAAGTCTGAATTTCCTGTTTTTGGCTAAATGAGCTGTCATTATGTGTGGCCTTAACTGCAAATGCTTTTTTTTTTCCAAACAACTGGGGGGAAACAATCGCTTTTGTGCTTCTTGTTGTTTCTAGGGAATGGAGAAGCAGCAGCATCCACTGGCTTATTAACCGTAGCCTTGCAGTGGAGCTTAAATAGATCAGCCCAGGTTTGGCATGCCAACACAAGCGAATTGTTGAAGAAGCTAATGATCCTCCGGATTCAAGAATTGAATCTGCAACACAGGAAAGAAAAGTGGAACTAAAAGGAAGCAAAGTGTGTTGGAAGAGGCTGCAGCTTTAACTTTAAATATTAGCTTGCAAACGGTAACATAAACACACGCAAAAAAAGAGACAGTTTGTCTGTATAAACAACACACACACACACACACAACTCTGCAAGCAACTGAGAGTGTCTCGGCCTCTCATGCTCGGATGGTGGCCAAAAGAAGCCTTGAAGTAAAATGACAAATGAGTCATTTGATGACGCCCCCTCACAAATAAAWAAATAAATAAATAAAGAGTCACCACTTATGAAGCTCCTGTGAGCTGCGACTGGATGCACATGGACTCTCATTGGATATGAGATATTACCTTCATTATTGGCACAGGGAAACAGTTTTCTGATGGTGGAATGAGCCATATTTTATTTCTTGGAAAGTACTTTCCAAAGGTGCATAGTGGGGCGATCCTCAGCATTTCTTTTCTGAAGTGAAATCAGTCAGTCTTGTCAGCGAGGTTATGAGAAAACAGGTAAATCATTCATATGTAAAGGATTAATGAACTCCGAGCAAACCCACAGAMGCAAACATTCATGTGGCGAAGGAATCAGACGACTCCCTCCGTTCCCATCGCTCTCCTGGTGGCAACCAAAACATTGTTATCAGAATGATTCAGAACAGGAATATAATCAAAAGAAAGGAATGCAAATTTCCTATCACCTTTCTTCTTTTCAAACTGAGATGTGAAGAAATGAAGGGTTGTAGATAATTTGGTCAAACCTTAAAAATAACATTATGTTTAATTTTATGCAATACTGTGAGATGTTCACTCAGAGTATGTGTTGAGAATGACTCTCAGCTGCTATCGCAGCAAATTTTAGCTTAAAACTCACTTTGTATTTGTGTTGGATGATTTTGGTTAGAGGTGACGTCTGTCGTTAACTCCAAAAGTTGTTCAATTGTAGACGTATGTCCAGTGTTCACTTTTGGAGACTTTCGTTAATATTCCTCCTCTTGTTCACAAAAACAAACCCACATGCATACACACCTATACACCCAAACACGCACACAAGTTTGTATTTTTATCCTTGTTAAGTCCATTCATTGACTTCCATTCATTCCCAGTCATTTCTAAAGCC